TAATGTCAATATAAGCTTTTTTTGTGGTAACTGAATGATAGTCAAAGTTTATATAATTAGTTACTAGTTACTACAGTGATTTTCGACCGGTGTGCCATCTATCGTGAGAATAATTCATTTGTAAATATAAAGTGATGTTTCATAACTGTATAAAACCATAACAATATAAATAAACAAAAATAAAAGTCTGACTTTCATATTACTGTTATTTCCAGTCACTAATGGATCATAAAGCTAATGCAGCAAATTCAACTTCACTGTTGTTTTCACGATCCCAATTTCAGACGACGGACTTTTGCGTGCGAGTAAAACGCAATTTATTTATTTCTTGAAATCACACGTCCACACGGTTATTATTTTTCTGCATTCCTCCCCCCATGCTGTCTACTTATTTGCGGATTTTGATTGCCTCTCGTCTCGCTGAATAATTCGCGGGAATACAAAATGCAAATTTCCATTTCACCGAGTCCGGCCACTCATAAATTCTATCAAAGTTATTACACGTGTTGCGGTACAATCTCGTCCTGTGCGTACAATGCCGCGAGGAAAGTGTATAAATGTACATAAAAATGCCCTGCATTTTCATTCTTCTATTGTGAAATTGGTGGAATGAAATTTCATACAAACAAACAACAAGGTAGATTTCAGCATTTCGTTCCAATAGTAATAAAGTTCAAACAAATCAAGGTTTACATCGTTTCGAGGGGGAGCGATAAAATTTAACGTATCGCGTTTAATAATAAATCTCTTGTTATTTGATGAGCTTGGATCGTGTTTGTTTCGGCTATTGTGGGTATATAAGGTTTTGGAATTTATGTTTACTACACAAATCGATTGACAAACGAAGACGCTTTATTGCTGGCATTTGAATATATTATTATACATTTCCCATATAATAAATGACTTCCATAATCTTCAAGTTTTTGCTATTATTTAGTAAATTATATAATTGTTACAATCACGCTATATAACAATAATAATACATATTGCTACATCACAGAAAATGTATGAATTATTTATATATTTACAGGCAGTACAAAGAAAAATGCTTTGGAATATTGAGGGAGTCAACACTGAAAGAGTGCATCAGTTTTCATTTGTGTGAACAAAAATATCACTAAAGATTAGATGTATGAAAATGGGTATCAATGATGCCACTTCCATTTTCAGCATTTGGGAAGTATACATAGGTTACAACAGTAAGAAAAGAAAGTAGTGCGTTGGAAAGAAGCCAAATATTGAATGTAGGTGAAAATTGCTGCAACATTCTGCTTAACCATATGTTGGAACGTCATAGAAGATAGAAAATAGTGCAGAACAACCAACGTATACTTAAAGTACAATTACTATAATAATTATTTACTTAAAACAATATTGCGTTCCAACAACTAAAACTTTTGTAAAAATGATAAAAAATGTTATTTTTCATGAAAAATAATGCTCATTATTTAGAAGGAAACTTTAAAAACGTTTTTATTATGATTTATAATACTGCGCACTTTTTTTAATTATTTAGACTTAATACATGCACATATACCATTAAAATTTGAAGATATGTCAGAAGAATTTCAATTATCTGAATAAATGTCGATTTTCGCTATGTGCTTTTCAATTAAGTTGAGAATATGAAGCGATACGGTTCTGTCGTATAAAGAAGCTATCATTTCTAGTTTACTTGGCAGACTTTCTCTTCCCTCGTGTAATTTTCCATGTGACCAACTACCTATACGTTCTTCCTATCAGATGGAATGCCTTTTCGACAATGCCTTTTCCGCTATGCCCAAAAAAGACGTTGTCATCTTGGAAATGTACGGAATTCGAATAAGATGGAATTGAAAGACGTATGTAACTATCTCTTCTCATCTCTTCCTTATTTAATTTATAATCCTATTTGTACTGATAAACTCCTTTGATGATAAATTTAAATAATCTAAAATTCAATTTATTATTTTATTACCAGTATCTAAATTGAAACAGTATTAAGAATAGTATCGTGATCTAAACATGTTTTATATGATTGTATCTTGTGTTATTAAATGAAAATCTGGGTCGAAATTCAAGAGGTTAAGAGAACTCTTATGGCACAATGGGAACACTCATAAGGAATCAACACGTGCAATATTTCCACGACAGTTTAGAATGTTCTTCTCTTGCGTATTGAAGTTCCATAAATAAGTCAAGTTTAATAAAAAAAAAAGTAGTAGTAAATCATATATTTTTTAAATATTTCTCTACATTTGTTTAGTTTTTATTATTGTGAATTTTAAAAATACGAAAACACCAAATTTTGTTAATGATTTTAATTATTCCTGTGTAAAAGTTAATTAATTTAACAAGTGATTGTTTTGATAAATAATTATAATTCATTAATGTATCTCGAGTGAAATAACAAACATAACAAAAAATATGTTCAGTAATGAGTTTCAAAAATAATTAGTAAATACGTTTACTATTAATTATTGTTGTACAATTGTTTTGTAATAATTAAAATATATGATGAATATAGAATTCAATTATTAATAACGAGGTCAAATTTAAATGAGCATGGATAATGATGCAATATTATTGGTTTCCTCTTTATACAGTATGAATTAAATAGGCTTGATTTGCTTCAATGTTCTGCTGCTAGTACATTTTTTTTTTCCTCTTGCGCCGTTATTATTTTAAAACCAAAGCAGTGACGTTAACAGGCAGCGTGAAAAGGGTCGTGGGTGAAAGGGTGAAATAGTGGTTAAAGTCCACACCATCACTGACAAAATAATCGGCCGAGCACATAATTGCCCACATTCCTGAAACACTGGCGGCTGCACGGAATATTAGTGTTATTACGTCAGTGTTTACACTATACTTGTTATATGAATATTATTTACCAGCTACTAAAAGAGATGCCATTTTTATATATGTAACATTCATATTTACAAAGTTATTTATTATAATTAACTAATATTTTTATTATTTCCTATTCACAATTGACCTTCTATTAGACAGCATTAACTACCATACTTTTAAAGTCCTCGATTAGTTCGGTTTCAAACTGTCCGGGTTATTGATTCTACCGATTATCGTGATTTTCAAAATTTGACATTGACGAAAAGTATCATCGTAAAGGATAAAAGAAAAGGTCTTTATTACAATAGTTTACAGTCAATATTGACTCAATCAGTGGAGGATGGATGCAAAGAGGAAGAGAATATCCTTTTCAGGGAGACATTTCTATGCTACGGAAATATTTGCTTTCCTTTTTACTTTTTCAAGATATTTTTTTCTTAAATTTATAGATTTGAAGTTATTTACTATTTCAGAATAAATGTTCAAATATAATTAACATAAGTACAGTGGAGTTTCGCTTAACGAGTTTAATTCGTTACAAAATATCCGGATTTTTACTCGTATAGTGAATGTGTGTTCACAAGTTTTGAAAAATGATGTAGCAGGCGCGCAATTCGGAAATTCTCTTCTCATCTTCACTCGTTATGCAAAACATATTCATTTTGCTCGTTAAGCGAGGTTCCACTGTACATATAGAGGTATAAAAACAGTAACTGCAATATAACAAAAATATTAGCAATACCTTGTATAGTGCTGTTTCGATCAATCCGGATTTACTATAGTCTGGTTTGAAAATTTGCAAGGTAACTTTTTCCTTATAGTCAAGTCACTTTTTGTGTTGTTTTTAATGCAATTTTAAAGCTCTAGATTAGTTAGGATTAAACAATTTAAACAAATAATCTGTATCTATACAAATCTAACGAATTAATAAAGTAATTAATATTTTGATTTTAACGAAAAAATTAAAACTGTGTTGCATTAAATAAATATAATTACTTTCGTTTTTGTCGAAAGTTGTCAAATAAATCGGCAATAAAACTTTATCTAAAACGTTGCAATTAAGTAGATATCGACTGTTAGAACTTAGCCGAATTCCCCGGTTTCGATATTTGGACAGTGGCCAAGTAGAAGATCAAAAACCCAAATAGAAGTGAGGCAAATCTATGAAATATCGGGTCATAGGGATATATCATAAAACCGTTTATAGCCAAAGGACAAAGAAATATTTTAAACATAATGACCGTTCAATTTTTTTTTAATTGCACCGATCAATATTTCATGCAAATAATTTGAATCTAAAAATAACATTTACATTACTGTGAAATTTAAACCTAAAAACGTATTTGAAATATTAATACTGGTGGAATCGCCGGGTAATAAAAGTTTCCCTATTTCTATAATTTATTATCATAAAATGATATGTTAGTATATAGTATTATAGTTGTTGATGAAAACTTATAGTTCCTATTATATTTAGTCAGTCTTATCTGAGATTGGCTTGCTTCTATTGTCAGCAACCCTTACATCAAGTCCTGTCTTTCTATAGCATGTACTCTCAGTTGCACAATGTCGAAAGTATGTTTTGGTCCCATTGTAATTAATCCATCAGCGTTGAGTTGCGTTGCGTTGCTCGGAGAGTCTCAATATAATATTTAGTAGATCCTCGCCAGTTTTTTCATTTCGCACCGCCACCCCTAGGCACGAAACTGATTGTGTATTAATTATTTAATTAGATTTTCGCATCTCTCGTAATTACTTTCCATCTATTCATCTCGCGACGCCACACGTACCAGCAGCCGGATAATTTATCAACTTAAATAGTGCACCGCGATTCATCAAGTTAATAATTAATTACTACCGGCACCGAAACGATGATGAATGATTGAGACGATATTTGCGAAGCAAAAACACGTTTGTTTTGAGAGAGGGGAATTGTGCGACAATCAGCGTGTCTCGATGCAAATTGATGTTGCTAATAATTCAGTTCAATTAGTGGGGGAAAAAACCGGGTTATAAGATGCATTCGGGGGATCGATTCGTAACCGGCGGTCTCGTTATCGTACTTATTGATACGTTTCGATTTACATATGAAACTTGACGAGCCGGAGCGAGGCTAAGTGTGTCAGAGAGTCGCGGTGGCCCCGGTATAAGGTATCGATATAATCACTTACGTTGGGAATTTGATCTTCTGATGATGTTCTCCAGGAAGGTGTTCTGGGGGGCGACTAAGCCCCTGCGTCCACCTGGCATCTTTTTCCGCTGCTGCTGCCGCTTCTGCTGCCGTGACTCCCTTTCGGGCCCTTTCCTTAACCGCGCCACTTAAAAGGACATGACTGTTCCAGATATATATTAAACAAATGTATTCCGCAGGAGTCGGCGGCTCTGACGATTGAACAAACAAAAGAACAGAAGGAATAAAAAGAAAAACAAAAACACTTTTCGACGAGTAATTTATCCACAATCTATATATTTCAGTTTGTTTTTCATGATTTGGACCGGCTGATCATATGTGTACAATCCTGAATGTGTGTAGTTCGTTAGGGTCGAGGGCTCGCACCATCATTAAATGTTACCGATAGGCCGCGTGCACCATTTGAACTTTATATGTATTTGGATGATGGAAATGCTCGAATTCTGTGTGTTTTTTTATTTCCCGGGCCTCTGTATATATCTGTATGAGTGAATGCAAGTATGTATATATATGTTGCCGTGTGATTGAGTGTGTATGTATGTATGTAGGGTGGTTTTGCGTGTGGAAATGCGAGAGCGCGGGCCGGACGTGATCGGAGGGCCAGAAGGGCTTTTCTCGACTGTTCAATTTTCCCCCGTACGGTGTAAAAATCGAAATGCAAGCGCGCCACCCCAGCAGCTCCACCAACCGACGCCTCTCTCGCACTAATCCATCGAATTTTGGAGAGCAACGGAGAGTCTCCTTCTAACACCAGAGACGAACCCTCATCGATTCCCAAAACTTGGCCGCAAAAAAAGCAGATTTCAAATACACTTAACACTCGATATTGCCATCGTACACATCCCAGGAGGACTAATTAACTAGCGTCGTTTGGTATTTGTTTTCCTTCTCGCGACGTCATTATCATGATTATGATTATTACTATGCAAATTATCCTCTTTCATATTTCCATCTTGAATATCATTAGTTTTAATCAATACATTTCTCTTACACTATGACTAATACTTTTACTTATGTTTTAACAATGTACACATAGAAATAACTCAATCACATACACAAAAATCACCCCCAATTTAAGTTCAAAGAGAATTAATACAAGTAAGACTAAATAAATTCGTCAAATAAGATGCGAAAAACTTTATATTAAGAATTTTAGACTCAGTTATTGTAATGGTAAATCTGTTTTTGTTATGTAATAATATTAACAAATATAAACTATATATAGTAGTTAGTTTAAATTTTAATTCACTTTTTTCAAAATAAATGTACTGTAGTTTGTAACGTAGTATTAATTTGAAATAATCGGTTTTGTGTCTTCGTTGCATCAGCAAAAGGAAATTTAAATGTATATTTGGTTGCATATAAATCATAAAAAAACAAATTTATAAAGTCTAAATCTAGTCAATATAAAAAACTATTTATATTTTTATAATGATAATCATAATATACATATGAACTACAAAAACTAAAAACTTTTAAAACAAGGAAAAAAACAAAATAATTTTATTTAATTCTACTTATAAATTTGAAAGAAGAAATTTGCAAATTTATGAGGTATATTACATGTAATAATAATTGGAAATGATAACAAATAATTATTTTTTTTTTGTAAATATACTTTATTATATTGTTAAAAGTAAATACATCGGCTACAACTGTATGTAATAAAATATAGTTTGTGGTTAATTATAAATGATTTGTTATTATAGATCTTTGGGATTATCAGTGGTATTTAATATAGGCTTGATGTAAAGCACACATTTGAATGAACGTTCAAGCGAAAATGAACACATAAATATTATTGTCAATCAGTTATTGTTATTTAAAATATATATAAAAAAAAACATTTACTGTTCAAAGGACTTGAAACTAATTAACATAATAATAAAAACAAAACTTTGTAGTTTAAAATAATAACGTTTAAAACAATACCAGATATCTGTATATAAAAATAATAAATATATAATATATATATAACTTTATATAGAAATGCAAAGAAATCTTTCGATATAAAATCTTCAATAAATAATTCTTTCATTTAACAAAAAAAAAATCAACATAATATATAGACTTTGCAATGTAATTATTCTAATAAATCACATTAGTATTTTCTTGTATGTTTGTTTGGCTACTTAGTAACATAATAATATATACAAAATGGAAACTATAACTAAATATGATATGCATGAAATGTTTGTTTGAAATTTCGTTTGCTGTATAGATTTGAATAGAACTAGAAAGCCATGATTCGTAAGTTTTACTTTTGTAAAAGGGCTGTGTGAATGTAACTGAAAAATTATAATATAAATTCGATGGAATGATCTTACAGATTATATTATGTAGCCTAATTATTATCATTTTTCACAAATTTCTGCGTATTAAAATATTAATATTTTGTGCATAAAAATATATTTTGCACTTCTCCATCATCTATTTTCTTCATCTATAATTTAATTTTTGGCAAATCATCCATGGGCACAGATCGTAAGCACAAATTATTAACGATAACATGAATGATGCACCGTAGAAAATAATTTAAAAAAACAGAAAACTTGGCAAGAAAATCACTAGATTTCTTACGATGGTAATAATACAATCCTCTTCTAATGAGGATAAGGCAAGGCCCCCTGAGAATTGCATCAAATTACAATATAAAAACAAGCCCATCGATAATTCGCTTAGATTTTCATTCTTGCAGAACGATTGTATCCTAATTATTGTCACAGTTTGGTTAGGATAAACAGAACAGAACAAAACAAAACAAAAAACAATTAAAAACTAAAACCACAGACATTATGAGAAACAAGTTAAAAAATATTGTTTAAATAATAAACACATCATTTACGCATCCGGGTGTAAAATGTTTAGAATGCTGACGTAGGAACCTACGATGAACCCGCAAATACCGAAAACCATGATGGCTACATCCTTCCATAGAATCCAGTTTCTGTGGCCTAGATTGTTAGGCCATAGAGTGACGATCTCTATCAACGGAGGAAAGATCAACGCCAAAGCCGAACTGCTGAAAGCTCCGACTAACGAGATGACTGCACCCAAGTTAGGGATGGCAGCGGCTAAGGCGAACGTTAGGAAAACCAAGCAACTCCTGGTAACGTATTCTCCATAGAATATTTGTTTGTCAGTCTGCAAATGTTTCTTGATCATCGGCCAAACAATGTTCATGGGAACGTAGAATTGCAAACAGTAGGATAGGAAAATAGCTATGGCCATCATCAAGCGTACAGATTGTGCCAATCTAGAAATTGCAATTACAGGATTTCAATTACAGGAATCAAATGTAGCGAATTAACTAGCACTTACATGTCAGTGTCTGGCAAAAGCAAAGTAATACTTCCATACTTAGCTCTCTCGCCATACTTCAAGTAACCGAAGAATCCGACGGCTGTGTAAAGACACGCAACAATTACCATTCCGGTATTTAAAACACCGTTCCATCCACCGAAATCTTGTGGCGTTTGCATATTATTTTCCAAAGGCAAAATCTGAAAATCAATCGTAATGTTGTAACATTTTATAGTATAAATAATGTGTGTTTACTTACCACGCCGATGCCTTCAAACGCGTAAATCGCAGTTCCAAAATATAAAGGTAATTGACTCCAAGAAGCGAATGCGTTTACTGTTGATGTGGATGGAAGGTCTTGTAGCAAGTAAAAGAAAATAATAACAAGTCCGCTGGTAGTTAAAATCGAAGCAAACAGAGATGCCGGTGTTATGTACTTCAACTTCTTCACCCAGTTCAAAAAGATCATTGGAATGAGTAACATCACCAAGTACCAAACGACGCTCATATCGAAGAAGTAATTTTTAATCACATCGTGCAGATTGGCGGCGACGAAAACGAAGTAAACGCAGCAGAACCCCAGTTGCGTTATGCAAAGGAAAACGTTGATCAGCGACTTCACCAATTGGGAATACTTTTGTAGAGGTTCCGGTCCAGTCTTGAACGCGACCTCTCCGGCCTCGCTGAATCCCAGCGAAGGTTTCTGCACCCTCCTGCATAACTCGTGAGTACTGTTCACCAAAATGTGCATACAGTGAGTGCAGATCGCTCCCATAAACAGAGTCCCGAAAAATCCAACAGCCAGTCCTGCATTTCTGAATGCGTCCGGCATCGCCAATATTCCAGTACCGATGTTTCCTTTCAGGAGATGGATCATCGTCTCCAAATTGGACGTCGGGCTTTCTAAGTTCCTATTTAGAACCGGGTCATCGTCCTTCCCATCGTTAACCGGAATTTGCTGGATGTCGAGTGCGGTCGATTGTACGTTGATGGTCTCACTCGAAGATCCTTCGTCCAGTTGTTCATTTTCCAAGAGGGGTTGTCTTTCGTCGCGCATCTTGGCTTTCGGTTTATTTAAGCCAAGAGTGTCCTAAAATAATGCAACACAATACTTTTAAAAAACAATGCATTAAAAAAAATTGTTAATACACAAACATGCATAATCTAATAAGAAGCATCAACAACTAAATACTTCAATTAAAAATGAAGGTCACTAGGATATTGCTTTGCCAATTATAAGCTTATAAAACTATGCGCGATCGTTAATATTCTGTTCTTGCAATAATACTTTTTTTTATCCTTGAATTTCTAATTAAACGGAAGAATTCTTCTCTCTCGTTCGCTCATACGAAAATGAAACATAACGTGGATGCGACAACCACGATAAGATATCAATTTATTTCTGGTATTAAGTAATATCCAAACGAAAGTGATAGTGACAATAATTTATTGGCAATTAAATAATCACATCAGTTATTAACTGCAAAGAAAGCATTTATATATTATTTTATAGTATAAAGTATTATTTATGTGTTTGTCAAGAAACAATCATATATTTAATTTATAAAAGAATATGCAATTTATATCATAAACACAGGATGATGATACATCCTTTACTTCCTTTTCGTTAGATAAGTTTATGTTATCAGACATTCTACGCGCAAATTGTATAGTTTAGTTAAACAATAGAATTTAATTATTTTCAAATATATTTAAAAAATCGCAGAAAAAGTGCAATTTACTTTTTGCAATTTTCGAAAAAAAAAATTATATAAGTAAATTATTTATGTTTCATTATATGTATTGATTTTATGTCTATATAAAAATGTTGAATTATTTTGTAGAATACTTGGTAAAATATAAGAAAACATAAATTTTAAAAATCCCGTATTAAATTTGCTGAATTATTTAGAAACAACTTTAAAAAATCAGGGTAATTTATAACCGAAAATGAGAAATATTAAAAGATTTTTTAGAATGTTGAAATAGTAAATGCGATAATTTTTCTATCTTAATTGAAAAAGTAAACGAATGACTTACGTTCGCACATTTTACGCTTCCGTAGGACATAATTAGCAAAGTGCGATTACAACGTTTTTTTTTATAAATATCGGCAGATTCGAACAGCACACAACACTTTTCTTATTTACGCCTCGTGATAGTGTTTCTACACACAGCTGCGGAACTTTACTAATGATTCAATTTGATGACCCCTATATTAATACACATGTATGTATGTATGTAGACTTGGACTGAATAATCCTTACGCCGCGGATACTCTAAATACACAGAAACACACTATGCCCCTACCCCGAATTAACATCCTTTTGTCACTGCCAAGACAGTGTGACATCATCAACCATCCTCCTCCTCCACACTCTGATTGTAGACTTCCGAGTATTTATTAGCTAGTGCACACTTGCAATAATAAAGCAGTCTCAATTGTTTTCTTTCTACTGCACTTAGTAATCTCGTATCATTATATAATAAAAAGTCCTTGATATAACCTTCATATATAAGAAACTATACCAATACCTCGCACACTGCGGATTCAGAATAGAGTTGCTTCAAAATTAAATAATATTGTTTATTGCAAAAAATAATAAAAATCCTTATGATCTCTGTTTTTATCTATAATTATTTATGTAATTACATTACATTTTTGTTCCAAATGTTGTTATTTTTGAATTACTTTTTTTTAATTCTACAATCTACTTTATTACTATTATTGAATAACTGTTAAAAGCAACATTAAGTATTCAATGACGCATTTTTCCTTAATCTCCTCCAAACATTACGCAAACGCTGAAACGTGTCCACGTTTTTGAAATTATGCATAATCTATATTACTATGAATAATAATAAGAGTTTCATTAAGTAAGTTATTGTATCCTAATTTTCATTGATTTCCATCATCATGGTCAGTTTTTATTTATTTACAATAAAAATGTTTATATTTTAATGTTTAATTACAATTTAATTGTACTAATTAGTCTACATTTTAACTCGTAGACATAATTTTATAATTTCAGATTTTGTAAGTCAAGGTCTGCAGATAATAAGTTTATGTTATTTTTAACGAATTATTGGATAATCATTTTTTTTCGTCCGTCACTTTTGTTATTATTCGAATGTAGTTTATGGAAAAAAAAAATCAGTTATCAGGCGCTTCAATAACAAATATCAACATAGAAGACCAACTGGATGGAGCAATAGAAAATTATAAATATTATTACGAAGAGTAATGATGAGCAATCGCTATATTCCTTCTATTTTTTACTTTCCGTTCGAATTTAACGAAAGCAAAACGCCATGAGCCTTATCGCATCGGAATGTCCAGTTATCGCATTTTAACCGACCATTAATTATAAATTATTCAACACATTGAAGCGTTTACACTCATACACAAGACAACACAACATCAGACGGACTTAAATTAGTGCCCATTAGTTTCGCCAATTTTATCATGACACACTTTCCATTCAATCACATAAATAAATATAGGAAATAAACATGGGAATACTCATAAAATACAAATTTTATTCCCCAAAAATAATATAATATTATTATGGAATTAATATTATGTTTTTTTTATATTAAAAAAAACAAATTTAACATAAAACTATATATTTGTTAACCCAAATTTACACGTTCTACATATTATTATTATAATATTTGTAGTTTTAGTTGCGTTAAAGTCAACGTGCCGCAATCTTACGAGTTCTCTGCCTATAAATCAATATTGATTCCTTATTGAACAAATATTATCTAAAATATTAATAAATCATATTTTTGTTATAATTGGAATTTTTCATTTATTTAAATTGATAAAGTTCTGATCTGGAACGTAAAAATCACCCGAAATCCCAATCGAAAGATTAGTTTTAGGCACTAATCAATTGCACTAAATCAGAGCCACCCTACAGGATTAAATGGACTATAACCTTGGGACACCAACTGTTTGGAGTTTCCCCCTATCGTTTATATATTTAGAAGCTAAAAGTCGCCAAATTTCTTAAGACGATCGTGCACATAATATTATATCTTAATATGTAATATGAGCTACTGTATAGCACAAGGGTATGCAATGAAGAAAGGTCCACGAGTGTGAGAGGCGCTGGCTTTGATGCTATAATATTCCGTAGCAGACTTAAGCACTTATTATACTTTAGTCTTCTTTGAAAAATAATTGATTTAACTATGTTTTGGGGCGACTAATAGCCGAATGGCTAAACTGCAAATAATTAAAATATTTTACTATTTTATTTTATATCCATCTTTCTGATTATATAATATTTGCTAAAATTGATGTAAAATTACTTGTCAAGTTTCAAGTATAATTCATATATGTTTATATAAGCTACTTGGCAAATATTGATTACTATGTAATTGTTTAAATTTAAATAGTTTGTAATTCTATATTAAATCTTTACAACATAAATTATTTTAATGTATAGAAAAAAATGTCTTATTTACAAATAATTATATTATTTCAAAAAATGCTTGTAAAATAATTTACGCTCATTTCAACATATTCGAATCGAAAGGCAGCAGTCTTCATACCTATATAAAAATGTGTCTAACGTTTGAGATACACAGGTGCAGCTTCGTGACAATTCGCAACTATTCGCATTTCCGAACGATTGTTTAAACAATCGCCTAATTTTTATTACTTTCTTATCTATAAATAATGCAGGTGTTTTTCTCACTGCACTCTTTTCGTGCCCAAATATGGATTTATTTACACGTACGCACCTGCATCTGTGACTCATCGAGACGCAGGTGTGTGCGTAAAATAATTTACGCTCATTTCAACATATCTCTTCATACGCATATAAAAATGTGTCTAACGTTTGAGATACGCAGGTGCAGCTTCGTGACGATTCGCGATGTTTCGCATTTCCGAACGATTATTTAAACAATTGCCTAATTTTTATTGCTTCCTTATCGAGTGTGCAAAACAACAAACTATCATTGTCGTGGCCCAATACGAATTATTTGAACGTGGCACAAACGAATCGCATTTCGCAAATGTTTTATCACTTTCATTTATATTAAAATTTATTAAATATTAAAAACAACGCGAAAACTGAAAACTTTTGCCCAATGTGCAAAATGTTTTCTCACTTTTCATTGAAATAAAAATTGAATAATAAATATTAAATTTAATTTTAATAATCTTCAAATATATTCATTATTTTTATAAAAATTTCCTAAAATTGGTCTATGATATATGTTTATATAAGTAATTGCATCAATCAAATCAATAAAAACATTTATTTTTCGAGACTACTTCCACAAGTACTTCTATAAGTTACTTGGCAAATATTGTTTAGTATATAATTATTTCAATTTAAACATGGAATTAAATGCATTACTTACATATACATTTTTCCATAATTGTTTGAATTTGTAATAATAAACGCTCGTTTCAAAATATTCGAATCGAAGCGCAGGACTCTTCATACGCATATAAAAATGTGTTTAATGTTTGAGATACGCAGTTGCAGCTGCAGTTGATTTTTCATGATGATTCGCGATGTTTCGCATTTCCGAACGATTGTTTAAACAAACGCCTAATTTGTATTATTTTCTTATCTATCAATAATGCAGGTGTTCTTCTTCATGCCCAAATATGGATTTGTTTATACGTACGCACCTGCAGCTGTGATGATTCATCGAGACGCAGGTGTGTGCGTAGTTTTATCGTCAAATTTCTATGAAGCGCGCAAATATAGAATTTTAATAATCCGTGAATACAAGAAATTATTTATAATTACTAAACAATTAAAATGTTCACTATTTTCTTAAAGTTTACTATTTCATTTTAATTATAAAGTGTTATATTTTAATGTGGGCGACTAATAGTGCCATCGTTCATCACAAAATGAAATCATCATAATAGTAACAATCCACCGGGAAAGATTATCCAATTAATGTAAATCGCGATCTTAAATTTACTCAATGTTCACATTGATGAACAGATTGTGAATAAAATTATACAACATAAAAAAAAACTATATTTTGAAATTTTCGCGCCACACCGTTTACAAAAAAATAAATAGCCCCAAATTCATTTTTTCGTATCCATATAAAGCGATTTTTAAAACAATCGCCTAATTTTTATCAAGTGTGTGAAACGCACTCTTTTCGTGCCCAAATAAGAATGATTTAAACGTGAACAGTTGAAAGTGATTCAACAAATAAAATGTAGTGCTTATGCACCAAATGAATTGCTGGCCAACACGAACAAAGGAACCAACAAACAGAATTGTTAATGACGAAAAAAGCCGCGTCTTGCCGATCCCACGTCCATCGTTTGACAGTGATTCGCAGCACTTGTATTCGAAACTCACTCTTTTCGTTGCTCAATAAACGTTGAAATAAATATTCAAATCTTGTACCAATTTTCCTTCTATTAACACATAACCTGATGATGCAATTTAAAAATCAACTTTTGTTCAGATCTATTTTTTTGTATAACTTAAATTATAGAATTTTCCATTCAAACATTCACTTTTCTTAACAATTTGCCACACCCGTGAAGTCCTGCTCTCACCCGACAGATATCGTAATAAAATTGCAGCTAATCAGAAATACAATACGAATAATTAAGAATGAACCAATACATTTTTATGTGCAAATATAAGTGGTTTCCAAATGCTACAGAACATCATATTGGTATCAATATAAGTTTCAATTATGTTATTTACTAATTTAATAAGCAATCTTTTTTATTATCGTAGTGAAAAAAAGCAGAGTAACTTTGATAATATTTTAATACTTTAGAAGTAGAAGAATAAAGGTCAATAGAATTTCTTTAATTTACTACTTTTAAGTAGCTACAACAAACTTTTATAAATTCTTGAAAAAAGAAATGGAACAAATACATATATTGATCCCAATAAGAACTGTATACGTTGTTTATCCGAATGTCGAAAAGAGTCCACGGGCGCCAATTGAAAAGTGTGTGCATACAGGCGATAAATACAATAAAATTCTGGATAGGATTTGTTATTCCGGAATCAATAAACCGTGAAGTTTGCGTGAACTTTACATAAGACTCTTTCATCTTTTTCCACGGAGCGCACGAGTGGTCACCGCAGCCGCACCACTATCATCCCGTAACTTTCCACTGGTAATTGGCATATCCGATAGCGGGGATCGGTTTTGTAGGCCGCCGGACTGTTTATTGATGTTACTAGTTCTGATAAATCTACAAGAAACAAACAATAAAGCGAATCAAGAAAATTAAATTGACCGTGGATGTGCACGATTGTCGAGAGAGAAAAAAATAATAAAAATATAATTGCAAGGTGCAAGTTCAGCGAAACTGTTATTTGTTATTAATAACGGAAACCGTTTTATATGCTGGAAATTACCTAAGAGATTAAATATTATCGATTGAGAATAAAGAAAGGAA